CGACGGGCTGCTGTACTTTACAGCTCACCAGTTTTCAACAGTTTTATCTGCTATGATTACACTTGTTTGATATATCTTCAGACTAATACAATCTTGTTTTAGATGTGCCTGACCCCCCTGAGAATGTCAAATGCACATCAGTGGGAGAGGACTGTGCCAACATCATCTGGGAACCTCCTAAATTTGATGGCGGTGCACCAATCAAAGGTAAAACATGGATTTTGTCTCCACCTTTCAGTGCTTTCTTGTATACACTGTGGCACATGGAACTTGTATTAAATGTTTAAATAGTAATACATCTAAAGCTGAGAAACTGTGTATTTAATCCATCAGGTTATCTCATGGAGAGGAAGAAGAAAGGCTCCTCCAGATGGACAAAGCTCAACTTTGATGTATACGAATCAACTACATACGAGGCTAAGAGGATGATTGAAGGAGTTATGTATGAGATGAGAGTGTTTGCTGTCAACAGCATCGGCCTGTCTCCGCCGAGTCTCAACTCCAAACCCTTCATGCCTATTGGTATGTTCCACATCTGCCATGTTTACTTCCTCTTCCTCCGCTACTCCCTGTCCCTCCCTTTGTGCATCACCCCTCTCCAGTTATGCCCGTCAGTGATTCTCTTGAGTCTCTCCCTCTGTCACCCTCAGCCCCAACTAGCGAGCCAACGCGTCTCACAGTCCACGATGTGACAGATAGCACATGCACCCTGAAGTGGCTGGCCCCGGAGAAGATCGGAGCAGGGGGCCTGGACGGCTACGTTATTGAATACTGCAAGGAAGGAGGTGATGACACCACACATTGTGTTTACAATATACCCATTTGATGGACAAGTGAAAAACAGATTACACACTGTCATGGTGAAAATCTGTAACAAAAGAACAAAAGGATAAGTATCAAGATTCAAATCCCACTCGCTGTGATTTACTGCATGCAATTCTCTTTTATTTTAGAAACCGAGTGGGTGGTGGCAAACCAGGAACTTTGTGAGAGGCAGGGATTTGCGGTGCGTAACCTCCCCGTGGGAGAGAAGATCAACTTCAGGGTGGTGGCAGTAAACATCGCTGGACGCAGTCCTCCTGCTACGCTGTCACAGCCCGTCACCATCCGAGAGATCGTTGGTGAGTCAGTCGGGGTTAGATGTGGGAAAAAGTACTTATCATATTCCAGTGAAGCCTTTTTGCATTTTGAGTTGAGTTTTTTTTCAATGCTTGTTATGGTTTGTGTAGGCTCGTGCTTCATGCCTTCATAGTATCATACTGCATCTTTTAATGAGATGTCTCCTGTTTTAATGTGATGTTTGTTTTCGCTTTAGAACATCCAAAGATCCGCCTTCCTCGTGAGTTGAGAACAAAGTATATCAGAAGAGTAGGAGAGAAGATCAACCTGACTGTCCCCTTTCAGGTTAGAAAGGCTTTATTACTTAAAATTATTCAATCAATTCATAAATTAATAATCATCAGTGGACAAGGACGGATCCAGAAACATGTTTCACAGTAGCTCTGTTCCTATTTTGCCTCAGAACATAAATAGAAACGGTATAAATTATCTGCAGATAGAAAACAGGTTGTTTAGTTATGTGCCATCAATCATTTTGGAAGATTAAATGTCACATAGTTAAAAATAAATAAATAAAAAAAAAACAACTGGCAGCAAATGCATTATATTTTTACAAATAGATCATGTTTTTGTGTCACAGGGTAAACCACGCCCCGTCGCAACCTGGTACAAGGATGGGCAACCCATTGACCCCAAGATGGTCAACGTCCGTAACTCAAATGTGGACAGCATCCTCTTCATCCGCTCAGCAGAGAGAGAGCACTCTGGAAAATATGAGCTGGTTCTACAGATTGAGAACATGGAGGACAGGGCCACCATTGAGATCAGGATTATTGGTAAGGTTGCCAGGAAACTACATGAATTATGACAGAATATTTCATTTAAAGCATCCATATTGTGCCCCTTTTTAACTAACTGATGAAAGTCACACGTCCCCAGAATGTGGCTTTCAATTTTTCAGCTCAAAGTGTTGCAAAGATGGTTTATGTTACCATGAACACAGAACCCTTATTTTAGTCCTGTTCTAAACAGGCTGTTTTAGTGCCTGTAGCTTCAAATGCAGCTGTTTCTGTCCATTTCCCCTTCAAGAAGAAGACTCTCTCTGCATCTGTGATTGACGACAAAGCTGTGGCAATAAAATCAGTAGTTTAGTCATGCAGAGCAGCAGCTTGGAAATGGCTCTGAAATGACTGCTGGTTAACATGTTGTCTTAAAGGGGATGCGTTTCAGGCACTATTTAACACTCGTTCTATTGCCTGACAACGAAAAGGAGAAAAATATGCAAGTGAGAACAGCTTTAATAGGAATTCGGATGTATTGAAATGCAGTATATATGAACACAGACAGCAGCAGAAAAGCAAACAGATGTAACACCGGCTAGGTTTAGTGTACACTGAAGCACAAGACATGAAAACACAGTAACCCAACCACACCTTGTTTATTGTGTTAAAATCTCTTACAGTTTTTACATTTGACCTGTGTGCATGCAATCAAAGCTGATGATAATGTTAGCCACATTAGCCGCACAACGTGGTAACGCTAAGGATTTTTATTTTCCTTTTGATGTGGGGTTACTGTTAATAATATTAAAAGTGATCCTCTGAGTCTTCAGTTCTTTAGATGCTAGGAGTGCACAAAGACTCTTGTGTTCACTCCTGCAGCCAAAAGCAGAACATTTCACTTTGCTCATGGCTGAGACACTATAGAGTTAGCAGATGCAGCTCAACACGAGTAAATAAATGTGGTGAACCGCGAGGCAAAATGCTTTTTTCTAAATGGCTCACCTCGTAAGCAGCAGGCAGTGAGGGGGCAGGATTATGAAAATTTTTAGCTCCAGGACTATTTGTTCCTCAGTTCCTGCTAAGAAACCGAATAAAATTCTTACTGGCTTGTAAAGCTGGGAGGCCATCAAGTTGAGAGGAGGAAGGAGTGATGCCGTTAGTAAACGTCTTCATATTCTCATAGCTTTTATTTTATAGCTCCAAGTTTTAAAGTCTTACAAAACACAATAAAACGGATTTTCATCATATGGGACCTTTAAGAATTTATTAATTGAAAGAAAAATGCACAAGTAAAAAATGAGTTTAACAACTGGAACGTACTAAAGGATTCTTGCTCCAAACAGAAAAGCCAGGGCCTCCTGTGAATGTAAAGGTGACAGATGTCTGGGGCTTCAATGCGGCGCTGGAGTGGGAGCCCCCCAAGGACGACGGCAACTCTGAGATTACTGGATACACCATCCAGAAGGCAGACATGAAGACCAAGGTGAGAGAGGAAGACGGGTGTTGTGTTTCAACTCCTTGTCAACTCAACATTAACCTGCCAAAATGTCCAGTTGGGGCCTGTGGCGTTACAGCAACATTACCTCTGGCCAGTGTTTGACACCTTGTTATTCTATGTGCTCTATTTGTGAACTTTAAATACAATAATATCCCACTGTTCTCTTTCCAGGAGTGGTTCACCATTTATGAGCATAACAGACGCACAAACTGCACAGCTTCAGATCTGATCATGGGCAATGAATACATGTTCCGCGTCTACAGTGAGAACCTTTGCGGCCTGAGCGAGGAGCCGCGACACAGCAAGAACACGGCCGTCATTGCCAAGACAGGTGTGACAACGAGTGTATGTGCGGTATGCGTGGGTTGTCTGCGTTTGTTCAACAAGAGCGTCGGTTGTGCTGCGTGAAACGTGCTCTAATCCGCTCTAATTTACGGGGAGCTGTCAACGTTTGCCTGCCCTCTCGCCCTTTTTCCGTAGGTCTGGTGTACAAACCAAACACCTACAAGGAGAAAGAAATGACCTGTATGCCCAAGTTTACTCAGCCCCTGGTGGACAGATCCGTAGTGGCCGGTTACAGCACTGCCATCAGCTGCTCTGTCAGAGGCTTCCCCAAGGTAAACGTGCATGTTAAAATAGGCTGTGGAGCGTGATTCACAGGAGGAGGCTGCCACTTGTCATAAGCAAATTACATTCTGAAGTTTGCTATAAAAGGAACTTCTGCTCGCGAGTGTTTTTTTTTTAATCAAAGGTCATGTTTAGCAGCAACCTGATTAGGGCAAGAAGTAGGACAAAAAGTACTTTATCTAATCTTAGCAGTATTATTGCACCTGTTTTTTTTTTTTCATGTTTTAGCCTAAGATTATCTGGATGAAGAACAAAATGATCATTGGGGAGGATCCCAAGTACTTGATGCAGAACAACCAAGGAGTGCTGACCCTCAACATTCGTAAGCCAAGCACCTTTGACGGAGGAAAATACTCGTGCATGGCTGTCAACGAGCTGGGCAAAGATGAAGTGGAGTGCAAGCTGGATGTCCGAGGTAAGAACAGAGAGGAGGAGGAGGAGCTTTGCTGATTTGACTGCAAGATGCGTCTGTTCGGTTCTGCTGATGGAGACGGTTACTACAGTAGGTGTTTGGTTTTATTATGTAATAGACGCCCAAAGCAAAAAAAAAAAAAAAAGCTGACAGCTGCGAGTTATGATAGTGTGATTGTGAATTTGAAAACGGTGTCACATTCTTACCAAAATATATCACAGCACAATATTTGCCGTTAGATTTGGGCCTCTTTCAACAAAACCTAACACTCATCTTCTGTCCTGTTATTCCACAGTTGCCACAGACCCGGACAAGAAGTGAGAAACCGAACAGCAAAGAATGTGAAATCATACGAACCAAACGGTGAACAGTGAATGTCACCATGTAGAGTCGACACTATCATGAGTGAATTAAATAAAATGTAGTGATGCCTGCTAAAAATGTTTGGATATAATTTATTTCTTTGTTAGTTTTTTTCTAGCACAGACATAATTGACGAATTCAGAAGGGAGCTACATTTTCACACAAGATCTAAATTATTAAAACACAGTTATTATTAGAGCTGTTTTCCACTGTCAGGAAGCATGTGTTTGTATTTTTGGCACATGTGTAACAGCCTGTACTACACCTCCCTGGAGTAGTGTGCTCTCCGCCTGTGGACTGCCACCCCTATACTGAACAACAGCGCCACTGCCAGGAGTCCCACGGCCACTGCAAGGGTTGTGATTACACCTGTGGGAGACGACAATTCTGTTTAGGTACGCGAATGTGGGGCATTTGGAAGATTTCCAAAAGCCTTGATATTTTTTTTAAATCAGGCAGTCTGTTCTGAAAATCCTCACACTGGTCCCCAAAGTGACTGCAGGAACAAACATATTGCAGCGAACTCCGTAACGGTGCCAAAACATGTTTTGAAATAGGAGCTGTTAAAAACATCTATGCAGATTAGAAAATTCCTCACCTGTGCTTGACCATCTTGTCCTAAACCCGCACTCGCCCTCCCAGTGCTCTGCCGTCACATCCCTCACCAGCTCAGTGAACATGGACAAAGGACAGGGGTTGAGCCCGTCGCAGCCTGGCACATGGTTGGGGTAGGGGTCGCGCCAGGAGTCGTTGCGGTAATGCAGCTCCAGAGAATAAGATCTGGGTCATTATTAGGAAGAATACAATGAGATGACACATGGTTGTGGTGAGTGTTATGCAAATGGATTTGTATCATGTGCTAATTTGGCCAATGCGGTCCTGGACGGCTGCCAGATTTCCATCAAAACCAAAAAAAAAAAGGGAAATGTATTTAACGCTAGAATGCAAAAACTCAAAATGTGGTGGTGCGTTTTTTGGGCATGTGACCTAGATACTATACTCGGGAATGCAAAGAGAAAAGTGCATGAAATAAAACTGGATGGAAGTCATTACCCATCATACTCCTGGTAGAACTCAAAGAGCTGACAGGCGGCGTAAGGAGGAAGAAGGCCGTTGTACACGTCCAGAGCTGCCTGGAGGGTGATGAGTGTGGAGTCATGCTAGAATGAGGAACAAGCATCGCGGCAGTAAAGAGGTGAGGAGACGGAGTACGTGGAACAGCCGTTTGCGGGACAGATTATAAATGTGTGTATGCGCCCTAACAATAGACTTACAGCCGAGTACATAATGAATTTGAGCGGGCTCCCTTGCTCTGCAGCCTTAGAGAAATTCCTCAGGATGGCATTCAGCAGGACCCCTGGTAAATTAACACGGTGTCAACAGTGCAAATGAATTTTTCTCAGATACCAACACATTCCTTTGGCCTTATTGAGCGTCTTGTCTTGGCGTTTTAATCATCTTTGTTCCATTAGCTCATAGGCGCTAATACTCTTTTGGGAATCCCGACCCTGCACTTTACACCGTCTGAGGCATAAACAAAGCCTCGGCCAGCAGTCACATTAGATACACAGAGCTTTTATTCTCTAATAACATTTTTCCTCTAAATAGCGCTTTAAATTAATTGCCTCTAATGTGAATTCCCCCACCTCCCGAGAGCCTGGCCTTCTCTTTCCGCTTGTGACTGAGGATGCTGTACATGACCTCAAAGGATGCGATCCTCTTCAGGGTGTCCAGGACGTCTTGGGTGGCCCAGCGTGGGAGAGTCAAGTTATGGATCCTCTGCGCGAGAGAAGAATGTTCATTACCCTGCATCACGCTAATAATCACATTACACAACATAAGAATGGCAACAAAAGGGGTTTAAATGACTGCATTTCATAGTTTTTATTATCCCGTCTATTTTTAGCACCAAGTTGAAGATAACAGATGCTCATTTTGCAAGTGTGAATGAGCGTATTCAACCTGGCCTAGAATCCACCCATCTCATAATGCTTTAATTATCATTTCAATATGTTGTCCTATTCATGTCTTACTGTATGTATAAAAATGATTTCCCCACGCTCCTGCCCCCCTCCCCGTCTCTCTCTGCAGATGTGTCGAAGGAGGCAGATTACTCTTTCTTCTTCTATTTCTGTTTCGCTCCCCGTGCTCTGCAGCTGCTGCTTGTGTCAGTAATTGAAGAATTTGTAACAATACAGGTAGTAAACAAGCTTCTTAGTGTTTGCGGGTGTGTTGACGCGCCTGCTTTGAAAAAGCGAGCATACCTGACAGTTGAGGGTGTCGTACACTCTCCAGATTTTTTTACCGACCAGCTTGGACACGGGGTAGCCGGTGTGGTTGGACAGTCCTTCCACAAAGTACTGCATGATGAAGAAAAGTATAAGAACGATGCTTCAGGGAACGTTTTGTTTTTGAGTAATGTTAACCTTTGTTGTGCTTTGTTTTGCTGGCAAACTGCTCGGATATCTACTTCTAGGTGTTTATAATTCAAAATTGCAGAGACGAGCTGCTTAAAATGAAACATAGTGATTGTTGTAAGTTTAAACTTCCACCTCTGGTTCCTACATGTACCTTGCAGGTACTCTGCCTCCAGCAGAGGGTGTTAAAATTCAACGCAGGAGGCCCTGGCCTGATCTCAAACAGCACCTTAATAGGCAGCACATGGGACTCTGTTTAATTAAAAGCTTTTTATTGTAATTCTTAATCTAATTCAATCCAACCGTTAATTAGTGACTCCGAGAATGTGAGAGAAATTGCACTGTGCAGCTTTTTGTAGGCACTGGAGTCACCGTGCGTGAGAAAATCACTGAGAGGACATGATGTCTACAGCATAACTAACACGTCCACTGGAGGTGCTGATTACGTTGGCACCAGCAACTGTGAAGTTTTTACTGCAATGTGCATTTCACCGTGTTGGTTGATTTAACAAAGCAAGGCGTGGATAGGCAGAACAGATACAGCTGAGGTGAGGAAAAGAGTCGTTCACGGCAATCTCGATGATATAAATCTGATCGTATCAAACGACGGCGTTACAAGTAAGTTCTTCACTGCTTAGCATGCACATGACTCATAGAAAAGTGAACACGAGACGAGCTGTGAGTCGAACGCTGGCGTCACTGAGCAGATGCTGAGGAGCCACAGCGCGGTGTGCTTAGAGTCAGACTTGGTTGCTGTGGTTCTTCTCACCTGGTGAGCCCTGAGGAACCTCTGGTAGGGTTCACTCTCGAAGGTCTCCGTCATCAGCGTCCTGAACCTTGGGCAGTCTTTGCCTGGAGACTTCAGCAGCTTGAGAGATCGAAAACAACCGCACAGCATCAGCGGAAACAATGCACATTTACTGCAGGTACTGCAAGTCTTCTGGGCACAATTATATGTTCGTTTCACACTTTAGAACAGCGGGGAGCTTCGGCTCGCCAGGTTCACAGCTGAGGTGAACACAGACAGACACCACGGAGCTGCAAGTGAGAGACTCCGATGAACTTTAACAAGTTTGTATTCAGCTGTGCATGGCTGATGTGTGAAAAGGAAATATTTATGTGGCTCAGCAGCCCACCTTGTCCTGGGCCCTGGGGATGGTGTGCACTGGAATAGGCCGCCACAGTAACTGGGGCATGATGGGAGGCGGGCGTCTGGTCGGGGGGAACATTCCAGCGAGGCAGGCCTGGGCGCTCATCAGAGTGCGATCGTAGTCAGTGCTCCTCACGTATAACTGTTAGAGAGGACACGGCATTAAAACGCATCCGCATGTCACTGATATCACTGTCTGCTCGGTTTTTACAAGCACACAAATCTGACTTATCTTTATTGAAACTCGGAGACTCAAAAAGGATTGCATCTGATGTTTTTACACTTTTTATTGAATAAAAACGGAAAATAAATGCACCGGCAAAGGCAGCAGTGTGTCACGGATGAGTTGTGTTTATCCCAAGTCAACTGGGGTATTCCCTTAATATAAAGAGGAGGGGAGTCAGGAGAGATCCAAATGAACGAGAGAGAGGGAGGGAGGAGGGGAACAGATCCGTCTTGCTGTGATCTCTTCTGACATCAGCCTTCGCTCGTCTATATCTCTCTGTCACTCTTTGTCAGGTTTTTGCACACAGTAAATCACGCTGATAAGGTTGGATGTTCCTGTGATACCGAGAATGCTTCTTTTTTTTTCTCCGCTCTTTTGTGAAATTAAAACAGACATGGCAGCACGGGAAAGGAGAGGGGGAGGAGGGGGGAGAAAGGTACGGTACAAGTTGACTGAGACTTGGCCGACAAATTGCCAGTGACAGGTACTGAGAGGAGTTGTTATTTTTGTGGTAATTGCATGTTATTTAAGAGCGGGAGAGGAGGACTGAAAGCAAGGATAGGGAAGGGGAAGGAAAAGGGTAAAAGGAAGGCAGTGAGTGTTACAAAAAAAAACAAACAGAGGCAGGAAAAGAAAGCAGAAATCATATCTCCATAATGGCATGGTGCTGAGCATGCAGCCCAGGGGCATACAGAACCTACACGCATACTGCCAACCGCACTGTACATGAAGCCCAGGGGCTACATTACCCCACATGTTTCAGCACCATTACAAGGCCATGACGGTGATATCACCAATATGAGTCATGCTCATTAACTCATGTGATTACAGCCATTACTGATGGCCACCGACCATACATGAACTTGATTTCACATGTTGGCGCAAGGGCAAGCGTGACAAGAGGATTATCTTGTGGCTCACGCGGGACATCGGTTAACCAAGGACAATAAAACGAAATAAATAAATAAAAACCACACACAAGCACGCCCCGCTTACCTCTTTGTTGTCGTAGTCTTCACTGAGAAAGTCTCCATAACGCCTCCTTAGAAACCTGCCCAGCTCAAACTGCTGTTTCATGCCCAGCTGAAAGGAAAATTGGCTGCACAGTTAATTTTTTGTAGGATCTGACCTTTTTCGCTGAAGACTTGGCAGATTTATGCTCCGATTCAACTTATTTACATATAATAACAAATCTCACCCCGTCTGTGCCTCGGAGAGCACAAAATAATAAGTTTATCCACTGTAAACCAGCTAATTGCCTGAGAGCAGAACAATGTCACAGTAGAAAGGAATTTAATTAAAATTCTATACAAGCAGCTTTTCTCCCATCACAGGCTTTAAATCCATTAGAAACTTCTTTTATAATGTAGCGATATAAGTTACAGTAATTTCTTGACAGCACATCTAAAGCTGGTGCATCCAAAGCCCCTTGAGATACAAAAAAAAAAAGGTTTGGAGTCGTGCCTTTATTGTGACTTTTTCTACCTGGCAGGAAATGAAGGGAGGAAGTGAGGTCATAAAGCAGACACACCTGAGCTGCTGCTAACAAAGGAAACATGGAGGAAAAAAAAGTGAAAATTAAAAAAGGAGGAGATGTCTTGAAGGCTAACCCAGTTGGATTTGTGGAAGTTTCTGTGCAACAAGGAGCGACTGATTGTTGGATACACCCTGTTGGCCTGCTTGGTGGTTGTCTGCATCTTTGTTGGACCCTGCTTAAGATAAGTCTCCTTTCATTGTTTTTTTCTTTAGAAATGCCAGGCTTCTCCCCTCGTCTCTCGGCTCAGTTTAAGGTGTTTTATCCCTCATAACCAGCCGCTACCCTCCTTAGCTCCTAACCAACACTATACCTCACATGAACTCACTCGTACGTCTCAAAAAAAAAACCAGTGAAATCAATTGAACGAACTGAAATGAACTGAACTGCTTTGAGATGAACTGAAGTGAACTGAAATGGGCTGAAATGAGCTGAAATAATTCCTTTCTTGAACTGACATTATTTTGAAGTTTTCTTAAATAATTTAGGAGCGTTTGATATTCTTTTATGAGGACACTGAAACAGAATTATTTCTTTTTGGTTCTGATATCTAGTTGGGATTCTGTGATTGATTCTGTGTATTGATTCCGACTGGGCTCGTATATAACCTGATTCAAGTAGTGAACATTACGACTATAGTTCTCCTCTAGCTTGTGTGGTTTTGTTACAGCTATCTGGGCTATTACATCTTATTTGTTATGAAAATATCTTTTAGCAGTGACAGGTAAAGAACAACCTTTATCCCCGTGTCCGACGTCCAACTCAGTTTGACTAACTTAACCCTCCTATTACCTTCAAATTTACTGACATCTTTTATCCTTGAGTTCAATTTGACCCCAGCAATTTGGACCGCCAGAAAATTATCATAATTAAAATTGTTACCCAAGTTTATGTGTAAATAACACTTTAAATAAAGCTGAAAAAATTATGTCAATGGAGTCAAATTGACCCCAATGATAATAGGAGGGTTAAATATTAGAGATCATTTTGCACTACATCCTTGGCTTCCTTTACATAAATTCACTGCTCAAATTTTATATGAAGTTGACATTTGTTGAACAGTTTCAAGGCTATGGACTGAAATTTTGTTCAGCATGCCATTTCAATGGTCTAGTAATGGTCTAGCAAGGTTTGATGAGTCTCAAGGTGGCGCTTCTTTTAACTCGGCTACATCGTCATGAGAAGTGATGCTGCGCAGCTAATCTGCTTTTGAAGAGGTTCTGTTCGGAGTTGTAAGAAGTTCACCAATTCTTCTCCTGGCCATATTTTCTGAGAGCGATTCTGAAAGTCACTTGAGGGAACATGTTATATTTGTGAACCTGTTGAGCTGTACGTCAGTAATCCCACTGAACGAAGCTGTGCGGTTCAGCAGTGCGAACTGTATGTGTCATGTTGCCACGGGAACCAACATGGACTCAGTTGGCGATGCAGAAAATATATAAATATGTTTTTGTGCTCGGTCCTGATTCGCTGCCCAGCTCTACTTTGCTGGTTTTGCAACTAATAGAAAACAGATTAGAAAATTGATTGGTCTATTGGTATTTATCACAGAGCGTAATCAGTAACTAATTAATTTCCCTTTCATTAGGCCACAAACTAAAGTGATTTTGATGTTTTCTTCATTATGGCACAGTGTCAGACACAAATGCGCTTGTTGAGTGTCACATTAGAAATAAGCAGCTGCATTGAGATTGCTGAAATAATTATATCAATTTGCACCATTAACATTTTCCTACCAGCATTCCTCTCCTGCCTTCTTTACAGTAACAGCGACAGCATAATACATTTTCTGAATTTCTCTCAACTCTCCATCGTAACACCCTGTTCCTCTTGACTGAAGCAGCACATGATCGGTCCATTCTGAGCAGAAGAAGAGTCAAATGACACATCAAACGCCCCCTTTTATGAGAGCACACAAAGAACCTGATGAAGGAAATCTGGTTGACAAAGAAAGCTGATTACCACTGTTACACTGTGATACTCGACAAATCTGCTTGAGGTTTCAGGTTTAGTCGAGCCAGCTAACACAAAGAAATCCAGGCTATGTTGAACTTGAATTAAAAAACACAATAATATCTCGCAAAGCACATCAACACAGCTTGTCGTCTTTTGTGTTTTGTGATTATGTTTTTGAATTCATGCTGCTTGGAGTTTCAGGTTTAGTCAAACCAGCTAACGCAAAGAAAGCCAGGCTATGTTGAACCGGAGTTAGAAAACAATAATATTTCACAAATCGCATCAACACAGCTTATAGTCTTTTGTGTTCTATGATTATTTTTTCAAATTTATGCATTCAGTAAAACATTTTTTTCTTTTTTTGTTGTGTTGTTTTTAAAATGCGGTTGTGTTTAGCTCTCTTACTGTGTTTTTTTATAATGTTGTTGAGTTTTCGTGAACTGTTGAACGCTCGTATTCCAGCACACCTGACCCTGGTCTGGATAAGTGGTGAGATGGAGGGATTTTATACACTTCACACACCTAAAAGCTCTTCATATTTAGTTGTTTTGTTTACAGAATCCTGCTTGACACACACATAGACTCAACACCAGGTACCTCAGTGAGCTGTCCGAAGCCCTGAGCCCACACATCCTCCCCGTGTGGATCCCTGGGATACGACTCAATGGGCGATCGATCACCGTGTCGGAACACCTTAAAAGTCAGAACAGATAATGTCACATAAATTCCGACGCCACGCTGCCCCTGCTGTGTTTGTTCATTCCGCTGTGTACTTAAGGGAGAAATTCACCCTGAGACAGGAGTCACAAATAGAAACCTGTGATTGTGGACAGTAGACAGCAGAGGAGTCACTTTGGTGATCTCATCAAGACACAAACGCTGGAGCTGCTCCATTAGTATTATTAACTTGAAGACTCACTTTCTAAGCAGTGACATAACGCAAACCGGATTATGGACACATCTGATTCACTGCCCGCAACGCCACAGTAATCTCAATTTATTATACAAGCAACTTGTGTAAAGCCGACCACAAAGTGAAGTCAACAAAGTCGGGGTTTGCTATTATGGATAATTGTTATTTTTCCAATGCTTGCAGTCTTTTTGGATGCAAAACACCGTCCTAGGATTCACCAAGTTAAGCTGGATTCAAGTAAAATTGAACATGTTTGGTACAAAAATTCAATAAAATTAAAATTGGACACACAAGAATTTGCAGAAGAGATGTAGGAATTTAGTAAAAATGTTAAATCAAGGAGTAAACTACACTCTTACTTTATCCAAATATAAGTGCCACATTATAGATGAAGCTATAAAACTAACAAAAAGATGCACTGTGATATGAGAGATCGCAGTTGTTGTTTTTTTAAATCACCAAAATACATAAAAAGTATCACATCATAGGAAGAACATATGCAATTTTTTACTGAAATAATTCAATCGGGTATTGTGGTGTTATGTAAAGAGGTTTATGAACAAAGCTGTAGTGTCTGTGAGAGATACGCTCCACACTGTTGGAGTTTAGGCTCAAAGTAATCCTTTGTCACATAAAAAAAAAGGAGTGCGAATGTGATAATGCTCAGTGGGGACAAAAATACAGTGCAATCAGCAACAATGCAAAGCAAAAGTAGCTTCCAGATTACATTCAGATCACTGCATCGACAAGCAAATACTGTGGGTAATACTGTGCAAACGCCTTGTATGGGATCACACTGGGTTCTCACACAGCTGAATATGAAACTGCAATAAAATGTTCAGATTTCATTACTATTGAATGTGATGCACACAAGAGAAAGGAAAAAAAAATCGGAGTGAAACTTACAGCTACAACAAACTTCAGCTCGCGGCCCTCCGTCAAACAGATGCAGCACAGGAGGGATAAACAGGCCAGAGTCTTCTGCATGTTTCTGACTTGTCGATTTTCACGTCCTTTACAAAGCTGCCCTGCTGATACGAGGGACAAAATGTCAGGAAACTTAACAGATAAGAGCTGATTAGGAAAAGAAAATCTAATTGTGTGTTGTAGTGAAGCGAAGGCTGTGCAAGATGTGCTTTTTTAGATCAATGTGTGTGTCTGGTCTTGTTTTTACTATCCACAATTTATGTCATCTTGGTTTTAAATGCAATGCAAGAATGCAATATTATAAACAGCCCAAAATGCCTTCAGGAGTCTGAAATAGCAAATCACATAAATTAGCATATGCACTTACCTCAGCATAGTTGTTCACACATTTTGCTCTTTGAGTCAAATGATTCACAGACAGACGCGGGCTGCTGTGCATCCCAAATCTTCAGCTATACCCAGACTGACATTAAGTGCATGTTTCAGCGAAGTTAAGCGGTGCTTTTAAAGCCCTCCTACCTGACCTCGTCTCTATCTGTCCCTCTCTCTCCTCGGGGATTTCTGGTCCCAATCTACTTCATCATCGACTCCAGTCCAAATCACTGTCTCCGCCAATTCCCTGCTGTGCTCATGACATGACAGCCCGCACTGGCAGACATTTTTGAGTCCGCTTTTGATCTTAAGGACACATGTTTGGGCCTCTCAAAATATAGATAGCCCCACTTTGAAGCCGCGGCCGTATATTCTTAAGGACACTCCGGCTTGGGAGTAACACTGTGACAAAGAAATGGGTTAAGAGTAGATGCACCCACCTGGCTTTTCCAATTGTACTCCTACGCGCATAAACACACATGTACACTCTTAGGCACTGGCCCAGGGCCACAAACACTCATTATAACTTGCTATGTCATCCGCCGTGGGTTGGGCCTCAAAATTACAGGGCCTGGAGTGTTTTCCCTTACTTTGCACACATGTAAGTATCTGTTAGTATCAAAGCAGCTTTACGGGATACAATGGGATTAGCGAGTGTGAAGATTTAGAGCTATACAGCGTTGACATCATATTTGATAAGTGTAAGATAGGATCTATTGTACCAAGTCATTTACAGTATTCACAGAGGTGGCTTGTCAGAGTAACAGAAATAGTAAATTAGCTCTGATACATAATAATCTGCGCTGAAAGAGCACACACAGCTGGCAGCTTATACGTCCAAACATAAGTGCTCATTTTGACTGTGAGGTGATGTAAAAACACTCCATCGTAGAAGTTTCTCCAGTTCTACTTTACGTTTGGTGATATTCCTTCTCCTTTATTTGCATGGTTGAAAAACAAACAAACAAAAATAAACCCTGCTTTCCCCGTGTTTTCTGAGCCTGACATATTTTAAGCGTTTCAGTAGAAGGGAAGTGGGCTTCTCTTCTTGGTTCTTGAAGATGTTTCACCTTCACCCAGGAGGCTTCCTCAGTTCTGATGAGAGATGAAACATCTTCAACAGCCAAAAAGAGAAAGTTCAGCCTTCTTCTTCTTCCTCTTCTTCTTCTTCTTCTTCTTCTTCTTGGAGCATTTAGGATTACCGTGACCTGGACGACTGAGAAGCTACACAGACATGAATCTTGTTATATTTTTTTTGCCTCTGTGCTGTATATTATACTAGTATGATTGTATATATATGAGTGAACAGCCACATGGGACTTTTCGGCTGAACTTCAGACCATAGTTACAGGAAGAGAGAGAAAAAGTACAGAAACAGATTAAAAATGTAGCTCGGTAAATATCAATAATATGTTGAGTAACCCTAACCCTAATGTTGTACATGTTGATCTCAGATTTTTTTTTTTAAACTTTTCTACAAAATTCAACTTTTTCTCTTTTTCAAATTAATTTAAAGCATTTAAACTTTGTTACACGACACAAAATACATTCTAAGTTCTCTCTACGTTTAGCCATGGTTGTGGTGTTTCCATAGAGGTGCAGGACTTTATATGGCAGCGAAAAATGATCCCAAAATGAGAAACAATGTGACGGGGGTTTAGAGGGTTGAGCAGAAATGCAATACTGCATGATATTAAGAGTGCATTGAAATTGAAATACGAATTACAATGCACTGACATTCAACACCTGTTGGAATCTACTTTAGAAATAATACGGTGCTCAGTATTAACTGTGGTTAGTAGCGCAAAACCGTAACAGTCAAGCAAGTAACTCTAAATACAGTATGTGAGAGGATGTACTTAGTTACTTCTCACCACTGTGCAGGTCTCTCTACATGTGTTTACTGTTTTCCCTCTATCTAGCAGCAGTGAACACTAATCTGCTCACTGGTTAACACACAGAAAACACACACGTGCAGTACTGTACTTGATGCAGGTCGGCTTTGAGGAACACACACGGTGCAGATGGGTCAGCGCGTCCACCTGCACTCAACGACAAACCAACGTATACGTACTCGAGGGTGTGAGTGGCGGAAGTTTCACCATATGGGCCTGAGAGGGACAGAGGGACACACACAAACACCAGCGTGTGCACAGTCGCCGGAAAATGCCACAGTTGACACACACCAGTTCAGTGAAGGGTCACAAAACATGCATGCACACATTCACAACTCTGCGTCTCCCTTTCTGTGTGTTTCTCTCGCTGTCACTCACGCAAACACACAACTCGCACTCCATCCTCCCCTCCCCTCCCTTCCTCCCTCTCTCACTGTCTCCCTCCCTCCCTCCCCTCCCCAAGTGGCTGTAGTGTTGTTTTTTTTATTTTTTATTTTTTTTTATCTTTGTTGAAATAATTGCAGTGATTTTCAAGACCGTTGTCATGGCAACACAGAGGTTGATGCATGTTGACAGAATCTGTTGCAGGGCGACCGAGAGACTGAAAATGGGAGATAAGAGGTGGGAGGAGAGATGTGATGAGCATGTGTGTGTGTGAAGCTGCCGCCGATGATGATGATGATGATGATGATGGAGGTGGTGGGGGGGAGGGGAGGAGGGAAGGATACATGTGCTTCAATCCATATGATGAATGGAGATGAGCAGAATGGGACATCTCAGCCTGATAGAACGAGGCCCGAGATCAGGACTGAGCAGTTATGAGTGTATGTGAGAGAAAGAGAGAGAGAGAGAGAGAGAGGGGTGAGGGAGGGTGGTGGTGGTTGAGGGGGGGGGTTGCGGGGGTGCTATTTTAGTCTGGGCGTCGCCATGGAAACTGCAGCCTCACTACAAATGGAGACATCCAGAACACATGGATCGTCAAACAAATGGCGTGCGTAAGGCTCAGCGTGAAGCGACGCCACGGCCGCGCGACACCGTGCCATCTGAGTCGAAACCCACCCCATCCACCCACTCCGGCCCGATAACAGTGGCGTCTTCTTCATCACCGAGGCTGAATATCAATGGGGAGGGAGGGAGGGAGGGACGGAGGGGGACAAACGGTCAGAGTCGGACGAGGGTGGAGGGGGGGGGGCCTACGACGGGCAATGGCGTCCATTCAGTGGACTCTTGTCTTTTAATTACCAGTCTTTTTCTGCACTCCCTCTCCTCTTGTCTCCTCTCCTGTCTCTCCCCCACCCTTAACTCTCTGTCTGTCTCCCATCCCTCTCTCTTCCTCTCTATCTCTCTCTCTGTCTCTCTCTCTCTCTCTCTCCCGCGCTCTGAAGGACGGAGGTATTCCCACATTTCTCCGTTGCTATAGCAACACCGCAGCGAGAACAGGAAAGAGAGGACGCAGGCAGGCAGGGAGGAGGAGGAGGAAGAAGAGGAGGAGGAGGAGGAGGAGGAGGAGGAGGGGAGGATGGAGACGTGGTGGAGGGGAGGTGAGAGGGGGAGGGGTGTGGAAGCGGCCTAAGATGAGGGGATGTGTGAACAATGCTAATGCTAATGGTAGCAGCAGCAGAAGCAGCAGCAGAAGCAGCAGCAGCAGCCAAGTGTTGGTGAATTCCCCTCTCGTCGCATCATGCTGAGCGCAAGCTCACATGTCACATCCACATTTGCATAATTGCCAGTGGGAATCTATTTGCTCGGTATGTTGCTATGTTCATTGATGTCTCCCACAAAATGATGCACGAGGAACGTCTTCTCTCGCCCGTTTGACTCCTTTTTTTTTTTTTGTCTTCATCCTCTGCAGAACTTGCCTCCAATTTCTTCAGCATCATTTAGGAGTAAAAGGAAACTGAGCAGACTCGTACCTGATGTAGGTCTACATAGGGGCTGAGCAGCTGTGTGTTTATTTCTCAGTGATTCAATCAGCGTAAACCCCGTGCAGGTCAAACGACCCACTAGACAAGGATGTATCTGTGTGGAATACGCACAGAAGCCATGGGAAGACCAGAGCTATTTCATATCGATGTCATCATCCCCTTCAATCAGGACCGAACGCAATCTCATTATCTCTTCATATATATCGTAAGGCATTAGAACAAAGCAGTGTTGCATCAATTTCCCAATATGTAAAGATGTGAAGCGAGCAGCGAGGCTCGCGTGGCCCCGCAGAGGAGCGCCCGCATCCTCCTCTTTCTTCAACACACGTTTGTCTGCTTGACATGTTGTACCCAGTAGATTCATATCAGTCCAGACTGAAACGAATACGCCGTCATATATTCAGTGGCCATGTATGAACGCTTGGGCTGCTCGGGAGCCTACCTGGAGCAGTCTGCTGCATGTCAACGGTATTGCTGTCCTCTCAGTCAATAACTCATCTCTTGATGTCAATATTGTTATCCCCCATGGGACAAAAATGTCCTTCTTTAGGACAAAAGGAGAATAAGCAAGATGGGAGGAAGGGGATGTGAAAATAGAAAGATTAGTTAGTTCTACGGTATCCGTACAAGGAATCTCTGTGACTTTTTGTTTTATATAACAGCAAGAAATCAACATTTTTAAAATCTGATTACAATGTGAGTGCTCATCTTCATGGTATTAGAGAGAAGACATTTTAATGCCATTTGTTATCCAGTTTCCAAAGTGACTCACAAAGAAACACCTGCCTGATATTGTGCAAATCCCACTTGTGCCGGCTAAACAGCTGTATACCGTCGAAGCATGGACATGGGACCTCTGGGGTGTTCT